TGGGATTAAAACAAAGTTGAGGGGTTAAATGGCTATTTCATAAATAGCCAACGGCTATTTTTTACAGTCCAAAAAAAAGAAAAAGAAAAAATTAAAAAAATTAGCCGTTGGGCTCGCTAGGCCCGCTAAGGGGACCGGTCCGGTCCCGGGCCCTGGCGGGCCAACCGGTCCCGGGCCTGACAAGCCCAATCATAAGACTGGCCCACGAGACCGGACCAGACCCGCTAAAATCGGACCAAACGGTCCTGGCCCGTTTAGCCGTTTGGCCCGCGGTCCTGGGCCGGTCCCGGGCCTGGACCGGCCCACTTGCCAGGCCTAACTTAAGGTCAATAAGTCTAAAGTGAAAAATTACACTTCAGATGCACTTAAGGCCAAAATGTTTGAAATCCAACAAACGTTTTCATACACTTAAGACCAATAAATCTGAAGTGAAAAGTTGCACTTCATATGCACTTACGGCCAAATAGGTCTGAAGTGTAACTAATGGTTTTATGCACTTAAGGCCAATAAATCTGAAGTGAAAAATTGCACTTCAGACGCACTTAAGTCCAAAAGGTTTGAAGTGTAACAAACGTTTTCCTACACTTATGGCCAATAAGTATGACGTGAAAAATTACACTTCATATGCACTTAAGGCCAAAATGTGTGAAGTGCAACCAACGTTTTCATGCACTTAAGATTTAATATCTAAATCTACTCCAAATGAGCTCAAATTTGAAACATATAACCTCTAAGAGCCCGTTTGACATAAAATTTGATGGAAGATTTTTTCAAAAAAAATTCACTTTTTTCGAAATCAACTTTTGTTCATAAAATTTTCAATTTTCACTTGACGATGCATTTTGAAAATTTTCGAAAATTTTAAAAATTACAAAAAACTGTTTTTCAAAATTTTCACTCAAATCATTCACAAAACTTCAAAAATAACCCAAAATAAAATTTATGTCCAAACACAACTCTAAATTTCAAATTAAATACCATTTTCACTTGAAAAAGAATTTTACCATTTTTTCGAATTTTACAATTCTTATGTCCAAACGCCTACTAAATATCATCAAGAACAAACTTCAATCATCAATTTGTCAAAATAACAATAAATCTAACGAACCCATTTTGCAATTAAGAAAAAAAAGATATAAAGTGTCATAATAACTCACCACTGTAAAACATCATAAATTACCTTAAAATATGTTTATAAACACCCTATAAAAAAAGAAGAAGAAGAAGAAGAAGAAGAGGAGGAGGAGGAGGAGGGGGAGACCTAGAATTGTTTAAAAAATAGACACAAGTTAATATTTTCTTTAAAAAGTAGGTACAGGTTAAATGAGGACGATCAAATAGAGCGTCCGTGCAATCTTTTGCTGCAAACTTGTAGTAACAAATAAAAATAAAACTTATTCATTCCATTGCACTCAATTAGGGCCCGTTTCGCAATAAAAAAATTCACTTTTTTTTTGATTTTTTATTTTCTTTTCCTGAATCAGCCATGAATATTTTAAATTTCACAATTTTTAAAAATTCCAAAAAACTATTATTCAAATTTTTAACTTCAAATCACTCACAAAAATTTAAAAATAGCTCCAAATTTTATTTATATCCAAACACAACTCTAACATTCAAATATTATTTTCAATATTTTTTTTTCTTTTTTCAGAATTTTATAATTTTTATGTCCAAACACCGATTTATAGCCTGTTTGGCCAAGCTTCTTTTGAGGATAAAACGTTTATTTTTTGTTGTCAAAAGTATTTTTTTCTAAAATTAAGGTGTTTGGCCAAGCTTTTAAAGGAAAAAAGTGCTTTTGAGGAGAAACATAAGCAGTTTTGGAGAAGTAGAAAAAAATAGCTTCTCTCCGAAAGCACTTTTTGAAAAATACACTTAAAAACAGTTTTTTAAAGCTTGGTAAAATACTAATTGTTGCTCAAAAATACTTTTTAAATGAATTAGTCAAACACAAACTGCTTCACACCAAAAGTATTTTTGAAAAAATTAATTGTGTGATTTTTTTTTTTTGCTATGTTCAATATTTGACTGATTAGAAATTTTGACCAGCCATCCAACCTGACTACTCCCACCTATGTTTAATTGTTCATGATATCAACCTGGTCCCACAATGTTCTATGTGTTCCCTTTTATTTTCTTTTTCTTTTTACTCGACTTAAATTTTGTCAAGGCCTCACCTGTTGGTTCTGTGCTTTTAGGAGGACTAAAACCGTAAAACCCATTTTACTCCTCTAATGTGTATTAAATATAACATACAGTATTTACAAAAATCTAATCCAGTACTGTTAGATGTGTGAAAATTAAAACAGGGCAGCTAAACTAATCACGAAAACTTTCTTTTTCCATCCTCTAGCCACCAAGTTATGCCATTTGAAATAACGCACGATTCAGTAATATTACTTTGAATTATGCTTATACATATAATTGGTCTGATATAATTAAAAAAAAATAAAACAATTAAGGCAACTGCGAAGCAGGTGCCCTGAATCAGACAAAGTAATTTAGAAAACAAATCTAGAATGAAATAGACAAATATATTATTATATTAGATAGAAGTTGTGAATATAAGAAAAGAACTTCAAAAGACGAGATAATCTAATTTTCTAAAAGATGGAATAACAGGTAAAAACTTGTAATTTGGTTTACTAAATTACTGAAATACAATGAACATGTTGTTCCAATCAGTAACATTGACACTAATTATCGTAATCTCCCAAAAAAAGTTTCCTCCATGTTAGGAATTTTATGGGAGTAATAGCGTGGGATAATCACATTTCATTCATATAATTGACAAATAACAATTATCATGGAGTTTTAAATTTCACAAGGTAAACCTCAAGATAATATTTTGGATAATGGCTATTCTTCAATTACAGAGACTGTAAAAGTGGCTATTTATGGATTTTATCCCATTCTATGGCTTGGGTGGGGCCGGGCTCGTAATATCATGGACCAGACAACTGGAGAACTAGAAATATTGGGCCTACCAAGAAAGGAATCAGCCCAAAGAAGACAAAAAAGGGGAATCAAACTTTTAAACTTGGTGAGAAATAGCAGAAGAAAGAGAAAAGAAAACCAAAAAAAAAAGAACAGTAATCGTAGAAAAGAGTAAAAGAGTGTTGATTTGGTGCTGACAGTAATCAACACAAAAAGTAGTGAAAAATGGGGTCGAGGAGAGTGACGAAGACACTGGAAGATCAATGGATGGTGGAGCGTCAAGTTCGGGAGATATACGATTTTTTCTACAGCATTCCTCCCAATTCCCAGTCCGTAATGTTAGCTCTCAACTGTTTTCAATTTCTAGGGCTCTTTTTTTCTCGCGATTAAGTCAGTTTGATCATTTACGAGCTTAAAATTCCTTTGTTGATGAACTCATTTTGTGTTAATTTGTTTCTTTCTTATAATAAAGCTTAGAGCTTCAACGTGATAAGCACTTCGATTATCTCACTCGAGGTCTCAGAAAACTTGGTCCGTCGTTCTCCGTCTTGGATGCTAAGTAAGCCCCCTCCCTCTATGCTCGTTTCTGATAACTCATTGACTCTGTGGAGTTCACTTGCAATGTTGGCGACTCTAATCTTAATGCTTAACTGGTGGCTTATAGACCAAAAGAAAAACGATCAAAATAACTGATATTATTTCTTATAACGAGCTTAAAGCGCCTTAAAATAACAGCCTCTCTACCCCTCGGGGCAGGGCTAAGGTATGCGTATACACTAACCTCGCCAGACCCCACTAGTGGGATTTCACTGGGTTGTTGTTCTTGATCTTAAAGCGCCTTAAAAGGAAAATTATTTTGTATTGGAATGGAATTTACTTGAATAAAGCTCAGCGGCTCAGTTAATATAGTTTCATATATCTGATTTCACCTAATTTGGGATCTAGGCAAGTTGATTGATTGAATGGCTTTTTAGGAAGAACGTCGTTTGCCTGTCCGATCTTAGCAAGAGAGTTGAGATTGAGCTTTTACTAATAGAAGATTTTATAATAAAGGGAGGAAAGAGCTAACAGGCTATCGTGGATGAATACATGACCTTCAAATATAGCTCTCACCAATGTTTAATTTCATTTTTTTGATAAGGCCAATGTTTGATTACATAATACAATCTAGTAGGATTGTTTATAAGTTCATGTTGACTAATCTTGTTGGTGTAGGACATAGTAAAGGTTATTTGTTCTTTTTTTTCTTCTTCTTGGGAGGGGGGGGTCACGGTGGTGTTCGCCAGCTTGCTCATACCTCGAGTAATCCATTGGTACCTACTATCTCTCACTAGCACATGTGCCGTCTAGCATGGGAAGAGATCACCTAATGCTTTTTGACTTTGTTGGGATTAGAACGCTGGTCTCCCACTTCCTACGTGCAGTGGCGGAGGCAGGATCTCCGCGAAGGGGGTTCAAAAAGAAAAAAGTTTTAAAAAAATGTAGCTAGTGGGAATTAAACCTATGACCTTACAAAGGTTTTGAACCCCCTTGACCACTAAGCTACACTTTTGGGCTGTGTTAAGTTGATTCAAAACTTAATATATAGAGATAAAAAATAGATTTTGCCTTACATATACAGTGTAATTTTTCGGCGAACTCCTTCCGCCCCCCTAACACGGGGGGGGGGTCACGGTGGTGTTCGCCAGCTTGCTCATACCTCGAGTAATCCATTGGTACCTATTATCTCTCACTAGCACATGTGCCGTCTAGCATGGGAAGAGATCACCTAATGCTTTTTGACTTTGTTGGGATTAGAGCGCTGGTCTCCCACTTCCTACGTGCAGTGGCGGAGGCAGGATCTCCGCGAAGGGGGTTCAAAAAGAAAAAAGTTTAAAAAAAATGTAGCTAGTGGGAATTGAACCTATGACCTTACAAAGGTTTTGAACCCCCTTGACCACTAAGCTACACTTTTGGGCTGTTTTAAGGGGATTCATAACTTAATATATAGAGATAAAAAACAGATTTTGCCATATATATACAGTGTAATTTTTCGGCGAACTCCTTCCTCCCCCCTAATACTGGGGGGGAGGGGGGGTCACGGTGGTGTTCGCCAGCTTGCTCATACCTCGAGTAATCCATTGGTACCTACTATCTCTCACTAGCACATGTGCCGTCTAGCATGGGAAGAGATCACCTAATGCTTTTTGACTTTGTTGGGATTAGAGCGCTGTTCTCCCACTTCCTACGTGCAATGGCGGAGGCAGGATCTCCGCGAAGGGGGTTCAAAAAGAAAAAAGTTTAAAAAAAATATAGCTAGTGGGAATTGAACCTATGACCTTACAAAGGTTTTGAACCCCCTTGACTACTAAGCTACACTTTTGGGCTGTGTTAAGGGGATTCAAAACTTAATATATAGAGATAAAAAACAGATTTTGCCTTATATATACAGTGTAATTTTTCGGCGAACCCCTTCCGCCCCCCTAAATCCGCCCCTGCCTATGTGCATTCCAGATTCATTAGTCCACACCCTTGCGTCCCCTTTCCCATATCACACCACCGTAATGTAAAAGTTTGGACAATGTGTTCATCAAGGTGGGATCTTGGCCTATGTTCTAGTGCAAGGGAATAGTGACTATTATATCCTTATAGTACTATACTGACATGGAACTGAAGGTTATTTCATCATTATCAGCTATTACTTTTGCCTTACTTAAGTTTTTCTTTCTAGTCGACCATGGCTTTGCTACTGGATACTTCATTCAATCGCTTTGTTGGGAGAATCTATTGATGCCAAACTGGAAAATGATGCAATTGACTTTCTGAGCCGTTGCCAGGTCTGTTCATTTTGGATTCTGTTGTTTAAACTATTAAATTCATCTGCTAATCAAAAGTATGGATGGGCTTGGCCCAGATAAAAATCAAGAAACTTAGATTATTATATTTCGAATGGTAGCATTATAAATTATTGGAAGAAATGTTGATTGCCTGTTTTGCAACTGTCAACCTTGAGTTAAAATGGACCTTAGAATTAGAACTAGTTTTTGTCATAGCTTCTTGTATCCTAGGAGAGCATACTGACTAAACTAGTAGAAGTCAACTTAGTTATCCCCCGGAAGTAACTGTCTTTCCAGAATACCTGTGTAACTGTTTCTTTTTCTTACTTGCAATTCCACCTAATATGTTTCTAGACTTCTCGTACAATAAAATGCGATAAAATCTAGTTCATGTGTTGTTTGACATCATCACAGGATAAAGATGGTGGCTATGGCGGTGGACCTGGTCAGGCAAGTCAAATTCTCCTACTCCACTTTGAATGCCATTGTCAGATTTGAGTCAGCTGCTTTGTGCTTATTTTCACATTGAGTTTGATTTTGTGATGTTTCATTTGTATTTGGTATGCTTGCGCATCCATGTTTATCACTCATGTTAGTTTCGTCCTCTGGAGATGATGGTTGATTTGACTATTGTAAATATGTGAACTCTAAATAGAATTCTGTTAGGACTTATAATAAAAAGTTAGAGGGAAATAGTCATCAATTGATAATTACACATCTAATTATTGGCGTTGTTCCTCGTTCATTTCTAAGTTAGCTTGAAACTCTTTTTCTGTTTCTTTAGAGTCACATATATACAGTTACAAGCTCTCTTTATTCTGGTCAGCCTGTTTATTTTAGACAGTTCTTGTGCTTCCTGTCGTTAAGGTTCTTTGAAGTGATATTTATAATATATTGCTTTGTTCAGATGCCTCATCTTGCAACTACTTATGCTGCAGTCAATTCACTCATAACTTTGGGCAGCCCTAAAGCTCTGTCATCAATCAATAGGTGCACAAGCTATTCTATGTTCTTACTGGGATCTTATCTATCATCCACTCTTGTTGACATTGTCTAATAATATGCCTCAGAGAAAAATTGTATACATTTTTGCTGCGAATGAAAGACACAAGTGGTGGCTTCAGGTATGATGTTTTTCTACTTGTTTACCTTAATTGATCAGCTCTGCAAATTATGTCTTCCCTTGTATCTCCTTCCTAGTCTGCTGTATCTATCTCCTATTCCTTTGCTGACTACCAGAAATTTATATTGTCTTTATAATCTAGGTTCTTTTCTTTCAATTTGTAACTCATTTATCCATTTTAAAATTGCCATCTCTCCATTTTATGTGCTAATGTGATTTCATTGGCGCTGATTCTCCTGATCTCAATCCGAACTTCTAATTTGTTCAGTTTTCACTTATTTCGAGGCGAACTAGGCTTTTGGATGAACTGCCGTTGTACTAGACACTTTTACCCTGATCTGAAAATTAAGCATATCTGAGAATGTAAATGTATAAAATATGTGTCTGTGTGTTGCAGTACATTTTTGAGTCTTTAGATCCAAATGGATTTAATAGTCTATTTCATCAGATGATGAGAGACTTGTCTTTAACATTTTGTTTCAATATTCAATTTCACCAATGACAACTTGCACCATCTTTGCTAATGTTCAGACTTCAATTATTTTCTGCAGGATGCATTATGGTGGAGAAGTAGATGTTCGTGCCTGTTATACTGCCATTTCTGTAAGTGCGATCTCCTTGGTAAAGTGCCAACTTTTCCTATGATTATGCATTTGAATTCCAATGATATCATCATCATATTTACCGTGCTTAGATGGAAAACTCTTAAATAAGCTTAAGGCCGAATATAAAAATTTTGATCGATGAATCATGCATGCTACAGATTATTCTCAAACAAGAAAAAAAAAATCAAAAATCATGAAAGCTACAGATATAAAAACTTTAAATAAAATTCGCAGTTCCCCCTAGCAAACATTCAAGTCATGCCTCATCTACTCCTACCACAACAGCTAGCCGCAATCCCAAGAAGAGTTGGGATCGGCTACGTGAAGTCAGATTTGAGTTAGAAGCAGCTGACTCAAATCTGACCTAAACCCTCGATTCTGCATGTGTGAGCTTGCTCACATTGTCTGCCCCAAGCCCGGATAAAGGAGGAAAGTTGTAGTATGTTGATCACCAATGTAAAGATATCGATTCATGATGAATCCTTACCATACCTGAGACCTTGTCTGCTCCTACTGAAGAGACTTGGATATAATGAAGTACTCTCACTTAATGGCTTCTTGTGCTTATCAAGGGTCAATTTGATAAAACATGACTTTGTTTTCAAAAACAAAATTTAGATTCAAATGTCTCCAAGGTTTCATCTGAAAAGCAACCAAACCCTCCTGATGCAGGCCTCTATTGCAATTTAAATAGTGAATACTTGATTACATACACCATTCATGCATGTTACATCTCAACTTTGGTCTTTTTCTTCTTAATTGTCTTCGGAATAATGTGCTTTCATGTTAATTGATATATCGTGCTTTAGGTTGCAAGTATATTGAAAATTGTGGATGATGAACTGATTAATGGTGTTGGAAATTACATCCTAAGGTTGGTTTCAGCCGTGCCCTCATCTACTACAGCTTATTCAACCTACTCTTTATTTCTACCATATTTCATATTTATTGCCTTATCATATACTGACAATATTATCTTTCTATGATTTAATTAAGTTGTAATTTTCCTTTTCGATTAACTGATGGTAATTGTCTTCCTAGAGAATGACATGATGTATGATGATTTAACATATAGAATTAAAGAGGATGGCTGAAATCCTGACACAAAAAAAAGAGGATGGCTGAAATAGGAGTGCTGGGCAATCTGATAAAAAGATGCCTATCAAAATGAAAGGCAAGTTGTATACATAACGGTTGTGAGCTATGTTGCTCAGTTCCTCCAAAAATACTGCTTAACCCGCGTTGGTTGTTCAAATATGCATAACTTTTGGAGGATCCAACATGCACCCGGCAATATTCTTGGAGGATCCGAGCAACATTGATTGTGAGGCTAGCGATATTATATGTGAGTGATTTTTTTCCCAACATAACCACTAGATAAGTGTCATGAAATGCAGATGTTAAGATGGATATGCGTGAGGCTGTACATGATTAAGTCAGATTAAAATGATCAAAACCAAGAGAAGATGTCGCACCATAGATAGGGATCAGATCTTATCGGCCTCGGGAACCGTGCTTCCTTGATGTTCCTCATCGCCGATACCAGCTCCACTACGCTGACACTGAAATTGTACTCGGACAGTCTAGGATAGGTGGAATCCAGGGAACCTGATACCTCTTTGTCCTACAATGACCTGTTATTCTGGTCACGGTCAGTTCTTCTATCGGGAGCGAACCTGTCCGCCGACCTGAAACCTCTGCCGCGTCCTTCGGCCCTTTTGTAGGGTAAAAACTGGCCCTTAGAAGATCGTTGATCTGCGTCAAATCATCCTTCGACTTCAAATGTACTGGTCCATACGTACTATGTTAAAATAATTGAAGGTGCTATAAAGGTAACGAGGTTGTCAAAATCACATGTAAAAAAGTTATTGAGAAAGACCTACAGTCACCCAAAATCCAGGATATCAAGTTGATATTAAGAAAAAATAGGATTAGTTGTTGTTATAATTACGTTAGATCTTGTGTTTGCCAGAAATCCTTTTGTGTGGTAAGATACATGCTTATGGTAGAAACAGCCTAAGATTTAAAAAGCTCCTGATGTATCTTAAAGACAAATTATTGAGTATTGGAATTATCCGAAGTAATGGAATTGGAGGATTCATATAACTGAAACCAACTACTTTGAAATTGATGCTAGTTGATTTGATAGATGTTCACTGATTAGTTGTCAGTTCATGGTGGATAGTTAATTATATGTACTAAATGCATGACAGAAACTGGTGCTTTAGTTGCATTCATGATTCCCATTGAATTCACCGCAAGTAATAGTTGATGACAGCTGCCACACGTCAGGGATTAAAATATGAGATATAGATGTCGTTTCCTAATTATTACCATTGTCCTCATTGAATAAAAAATAGTGAAGGAAATATTTCTAGTTTGTTTTCCTTCTTGTTCTCTCTAAATTCCAGTCTCATCATAAGACTTATTTGTCTAGGATAAAGAAGAATTTATTCCTAGTATCAGAAATACAGGATAAGAAGCGAGCGGAAGCTCTTTCTTTTCCTTAATTAATGCGCCTCATTTTTCGTTCAATTTCATTATAAGAATATGTTTGCTTGGATAAGCCTTTCCTAAACTCTCATTTTTGCTTCAGTTGTCAGACTTATGAAGGTGGAATTGCTGGCGAACCAGGTTCTGAAGCTCATGGTGGGTAAGTCTCACCTGGGAGATATGCTCATGTTTTTCAATCTAGTTTTACTCTTTTCCTTGCATTTCTCTTTCAACGTTAATTGTCATTGTAGCACTATAACTTCTCAGCTTATGCTGTTACTGAAGCCCTTTACCTATAATTCATTTTCTAGGTATACTTTCTGTGGTTTGGCTGCAATGATTCTGATTAACGAAGCGAATCGATTGGACTTGCCAAGATTAATTGTAAGTTGCTTTTTTTTGCTTTAGGAAGGTGTTGGGGAGCAATGAATGTTGCTAATTTAATAATCTATGTATCTTCTCTTGTTCTCCATCTGGTTTACTGGCCTGTAACATTCCTGGCACTGTCATGAAGTGGAATATTAGCATATTGTTTTGTTACAGGTTTTCGTGACTGATAAAATGAAACTGAAACTAGAAAAGTGTCTTGCATTGTTTGTTTTAGTTCGTTTTCACAATGTTCCAAGTTACATTTTTATTACTTCTCATAAGAAGGAAGGGGGAATAAAAAGAATGTTAAAATGAGCTGTCTCTCAGCTGGCAATTGAAGAAATGGAGATCATTCTAGTACTCAAGGCGGATGCCACTGTGGTTAACTTAAATTTTGGTTTTAAAATGGTAGGTTATTTTGTTTTTACAGATAAAACTAGTTCTTGTATAATTATGGATAAAAAGTGAAAATAAAAAGGAAAGATGTTTGATGCACTGGAAAAGTAAACATATGGAAAAACTGAATTTTCTTATCAAAAAATGAAAAAAAGTGAATTAGATATTAACAGCTGCAATAATGTGCAGCGTATAGGTCGTTGTCCTTCATCCGGATCGCTGGAGTATGAGACTTGTGAATGCTTTTTATTACCAGTATATGGTGGATAGGAAGACATCTAGAACCCAGAAGTAGCCTTCTTGCCTTTAATTTTGCTTTCGACCTTGGTTTGACCTTATATTTACTTGAGTGGTTCATTTTTAAGCCGCTGCATGGGATCCCTTTACCAGGTTCTGCTGCTGCATTCCTGGGATGGTTGGGGTTCGATTATTAACCAATATTAGTTCCTTTTCCTTCTATCTTTCATATAGTAGTACCTCTATGTGACTTTCTCTCAGTCTCGTTACTTCTCTTAGTAGTTTTCTTCAGTGCTTCTTTTATGACTATTCCCAAGTTGAGTTCAATCGACCTGTTGGTGATGTGAAATTACTTAAATTTGGTTCATCTGACGGTATTGATTGGCATGAGATGCATTACCGTTGTGTATCTTAGGATTGGGTGGTATTTAGACAAGGAGTCGAAGGTGGATTTCAAGGCAGGACAAATAAATTAGTCGATGGCTGCTATTCCTTTTGGCAGGTGACTACCAGTTTTACCTTTATGTCCTGAACACTTCCATTTTGTAGTCCAAGTATTACTGAATTAAAGATGACTTTGATTGACCAGGGCGCGGTAGCTTTTCTTATACAAAGATTAAAATCGATAGTCCATGAACAACTACGGCTGTCAAATGAACTCGGTACAGAAAGTGCTGATGATTCTTCGGAGTCTGAGTTATCTGATGAAGAAGAGCATTTGGAAAGGACATCATCTCATGTTCAGAAGACTTGCCCTCTTGGACAAGAAGGTATATCAATTTGAGGAAGAATAACTCAAAGGCAAAACCAACGTAATCTTGTACGATTTGCTGGTCTACCCTTTGTTGCAGCGATATTTAAATAATTCCTTGGAATCTGAAAACAAAAAAAGGTGAAAACATCATGTGATTAAGGACTCCCAGTGGGCAGAATTAGATAAATGAAGGGTGGAAGAATATACTCCATTTTAAACCGCTTCTCTTGTCACGCCTTTGCATTTGGGTTGTATATGAACTTGATATTTCTAGATTGGAAGGTAATTAGTAACCTATAATGCTGTCAGCTGGGCTTCTCCTTAACTGGGTACTATATGTTTCATGATCCAAACCATGGGTGCGCACAAGTAGGGAAAATCAAATGGGTAATATGTTCGTTGGCCTGATTCTATTATCCATTTGACTGTGAGCCATGTGCACTGAGATGGTTTGGGAGAGCATTTCCTTGAAACTTGAAACATCCTTATCTTTTACTTCAGATAATGTTAGGTTATCAAGCTTCTATCTTTTTCTTTTTGCATACCCGGTCCTTTCTCTTAGGCCTAATTTCTCACACTTATTTTCTAATTGCTTTTTTGTTGTTTTGGCTGCAGGACAGGAAAATGCTTCAGATCCCACAAAGATAGCAGATACTG